GCCAGTACACGGATGCACGCCATGCTCGGGTGGAGCTCACGCCAAACAAACGGAAGCGCGGGGGGGCCTGCCCTTTTTGCCCCGGAACGGCCAGGATACAGTCATGCTGAGTCATGCTGCCGTTGAATCAGCACAGGTTGTCGAAGTCTGAGCACAGCTATTTAGACCTCCCCCGACTGACAGCATTTTCCTCACAGATCGCTGTAACGCCCGGGCAATGGGTGCCCCGGCTTGCTAGGGTCTTTGCCGGGAGAGCAGGCTCGGAAAGTCTGTAAAAAGAAACACACGCTTCCTTCCTCAAACCCAACTCGAAGTCCCAAGGCCCTCCTAGTCCTAGTGTCTCTAACGCTGTCGCGAAAAAACAAGTTTAAGGCAGCCCTTTCTACAGATCCTGTCCTCCTCTCCTTGGTGATGTCACACATGAGCGCCGGCCCTTCCCTTCATTGGTAAAGGCAGCGCCTGTGCAAGGAGCAGGTGCACTTCTCGAAGCCGTGCAGGGCTTCCGGAGAAACAGTGGATGCGTCTCTAGGCCTTCAAGAGAGCAGACCTGGTTTCAAGAAGAGCTTCCTTCTATTCCACGAGCTACTCCCCTCCCTCCGGGAGGGTGTCCAGAGCATCATCTCATCCCTTTCACAGAGGAACCCTTCCAAAGCTGCAGCCGGCCGACGTCTCTTCGAACGCCTCGACAGGTCTTGGGGCTTTTCTTCTGCCAAGAGCTTGCTAAACCCGGAGACTCCAAAAGTCTCCAATCAAGGAAGACCCTCTGAGTCAGTCTGCCTCGGGCTCCTCTTCTAGCATCTTCGAGGTGTGTATATATGTATATGTATATGTATGTATGTATGCATGCATGCATGTATGCATGCATGCATGCATGTCTGTATGTATAACTCTACAATTGAAGAGGTCTCTCCGAGTCTCCGAAGTCTCCCGGGCCGAGGCCTACTCCTCCGAGAACTTGGAGTCCTGCGGCTGTGGTCGAGGTTGCCCTCGGACTCTCGGCTTAGCTTGGGGACTCCTAAGACAAAGCGTAAATAAAGACCCGAGGGTATCCTATCTTAAGGCAGGCCTGGAGTCCAGACATCTCCGGCAGGCCTCTCCGGACTCGAATTCTACTTCTTTGACTGGTCGTTTGAACTGCTTTGGGTTTGCTGGATGACTCTTATGGGGAATCCCTGCTTGAGTGATACTCTGAAATCTCGGATTTCTTGCTTGGATCAACTCCTAGCATAGAAGGCGCCACAACATACCGCAGCATTGGAGTGTTTGCTTAACAGCTAAACCCTGCGATTTCACCCAACAGCTGCAGAGGGGTCAAGGGTTTTTGAAACGCGAGTTGAATTTGTCGTTCTCATCTCCCCTCCATCCGCTCAAGTACAAACGCTGCTTCATTTGTAGGCTGCTTTGAATGGCCCTATCCCAGGCCAAAGTCCATTTGGGTTCATGGCCCCAGTACCCGAAAATGCTACACCGTAGAACACGACATGTTGCATAACGAACCACAGCAATCCTTGGCGTCGCCGCCTCCTTCTTTGGCCGCTTCGCCGTAGATCCTGATGACTTGGTCACGGGAGGGTTTAGCGTGCTTTAGGCGCCATAAGGCTGCTTCGGCATTTCCTGATTCTTGCTTCAGACCATGCGAGAGCTGGACTTGCGAATGCAAGATGAGGATCAGCACTCGTTGGACAGAGCCTTTGGCTGTCAGGAATCCAACTCGAGATGTCTCAATGAGTTGAGGCATATCCAAATCAACAGGTCCTGATTCCAACAGCCAAAATCCAGAACAAGATCACGCACATTCCCCACGCCTCACCATGATCGGATTCACCACCCCCTGGCAGCAAGAAATGCAGGTAAAGAAGTTCCGATATCCCAGCCTCGATTCTGAATATGTGCTGAGGTTCAGTTCTCTTGCGTCCTCCGCCTCAACCCTGAGCTAGTTTCTACAGCCTGCCAGACGCAGGCATACACCAGAAAAAAACAGTCCGATGCAGCACATGCTTCATGACTCGCTGCATTGAACAAAACTCGAATCGACTGCATGGCCGTGCTCAGGCTAAGCACCTCCAGGGAAGGCAAAAAAAAAAACGAGGGTGGGTCCAGGAGGTTCCTCCTCACCCTGCTGAGACTCACCCAGGACCTGGGCAATCTATGCGAGTAACTCCAGGCCCTTGCAAACTCCAACCCTCGGTAATGATAGCGAGCAGCACCACTGCTATACCCAGCCGGAAAATGGCCATGTAAGCTAGTTTTTGGTTACATCGATGTAAAACAACATTAAAACCCGACACCCTAAACAACCCAACTTGTCAAGCAAGGCAAGGATGGGCCTCGAGCTCCTTCTGCTTGGCCTCGCAAGCCTCCACCTCCGCCTGCGGAGCGCCATCCGCTCATAATGCAAAAACAGGCTTTAGAGTGGAAAGCTTATGCGTTGGGATCTAGCACACGCGTGTGCACATGCATGTACGTATGTGTGTGTGTGTATGTAGTATGTATGTCCATACGCATGTACGTATGTATGTGCGTATGTATGTAAGTAGGTATGCACACATTATATATGCGAATGTACCCTACTAAACATGCGGTGTATGTATGTGCGTATTGCATATGTATACGTATACATGAGTGCGCATACGTTCGTCTGAGTGTATATGCACATGTAGTATGTACAATTGAATTTACATACATACATACATACACAT